ATGTCGCTATCGAAGTCGTCCTCATCAAACAAAGCCTGGGCGAGGACGCCGGGGTTGTTGCGCGAAGATGTGTGGAATGCAGCCGGCAGATCGTTCTCCTTCTCATCGATCTCAGCGATGTTGAGTGAGGGGTAGTCAAAGTCATCCTCTTGCGAGTCCAACGACTTGACCAGCCCATTCGACGTCCGCTTGGTCCCCTGTGTAGTTGCCCCAATGGCGGTTTTCATCTCGTTTCCTACAGGACGCGTCGACGATGTCTTTGACCCAGTGCGATTGAAGGCGTTTCCGAGCGAAGCCTGCTTGTAGGCGTTGTTTGGGGGTGATGTAGACGCGATGGCATTGTGGTTCTGCACCGCTGACTTGAACATGGTAGTCGTCGTGTGCGGGCGAGTGAAGAGGTAGCCGAAGTAGTGGCGGGGTGGTGTTGTGGGCGAAGCGGTCGGCGGCTGCAGGTGTGATGTCGAGAAACGCGTACGCGGAAGGTGCGTGAGGGACCGTGTTGGAGGCGAATGCGTCCGAGCGGGATGTGGGAGCGGCGACCGTTTCGGATTGTACGGTTTAAGCGACGCACCTCTCTTCCCGAGGGTGGCAAGCATACAGCAAACAAAGAGAGCGCCGACAAAAGAAAGGATTACCGAGATGATGTCGAGTGTGTGCATGCCATCCGGCGCGGTGGGGTGTGAATGTTAGCATCAATTAGCGGACGGGCCCACAAAACGCGACACGACGTCTCAATGCGGATGCGCTAGAACAATACGTCACGTGCCGTCATCACAACGGTGTTTCTGCGGTGTATCTGAAAGCTTGATGGAACATGCAGGATCCCAGGCACCTTGACGCAGGTACAGAATTTGACTGCCTCTAGGCGGCTCTATGACGTACTGGTGCAGACCTCACTTTGGCAAGAATATGTCTTGTATGCTTGTGGCTTCAGTGCCTCGTACCATTCTATTACGTCTCCATCACCATCAGTACTACCATCTAGTCCACAGTATAGTATACTATCCAAAGTCATACCGCGACGACCAGCGCGCGCCACAAGAAATCCACTTCTGGTATCATAAGAACTCGCTTTGGTATCAAGAAGAGAATTCGCTGGTATCAAGGAGAAGATTCAACGTCATAATAGATAGTGAAGGGGTAATCAGAGCCGAGGCCTGAAGCAACGGAAAACTAACACGAGATAGGAGATTCATTTTGAACCAAACGACCGTGAACCAGATCCCACAAGAAATGTACCAGCCATGCCATAAGACAACAACGCTTGCACCATTTTGGACAACGGAATTAATAACGACTCCCTAAGAACATAAAACCGAGTAGCTGATGAAATATGACCAGAAATCGGAGCTATCCAAAACAGCGCCCCCGTAAGCAAACAGGCGTGTTGGGACAATAGAGGGCACAGCGCTGAAGAGACAAATCTAACAAACGAGGTGCTTAGCCCTGGTATCCTCCAAAGCCATTCTGGTTGAAGGCTGCCTGGGGAGATTGGCCCCATTGAGGTTGTTGGGGAGCGCCACGGCCGTAGCCGCCAGCGCTGCCTGGCTGCTGCATCTGTTGCTGGTAAGGCATGCCAGGGTTGCCAAAGGCTTGCTGCTGCTGCGCGAAGGGTTGTCCGCCGGGGCTGGGTCCTGCCCGCGCATTAGATTGCTTGTTTCGATACTGCAGCTTCCTCCGGTGCCGCTCACCTGAGGGTGACATGGGACCACCTTGTGGCCCACCACCATACTGAGGAAAGTACGCGCTTGGCGTCTGAGGATAAGCTGAGTTGGGCCCGCCCGCAGGCGAGTATCCCTCAAATTGGCCAGTCGGAGGACGGTCTTTGCCCCACTAGATTAAAAATGTGAGCTAAGAAATAACAAAAGAGAACGAATCAACCTACGCTGCACTTCAGAGGACGGCCGTTGACGTTGTAGCCGTTGAGCTGGCAGATCGCCATGGCAGCATTCTCATGAGTGTCCATCTTAATGAAGGCAAATCCGCGATCAGACTGGAAGCGGGTTTCGGTGACATAACCAAAGTTCTGGAAAAGCGGCACAAGGTCAGATTGAGAAGTGTAAGGAGTGAGGTTCCCGACGTAGCACGTGGTCTGCCACTGAGGAGTCTGAGCAACGACCATGTCGTAGCTTTGCACGCCATGGGTGGGGAAATGATGGTGTCCGAAGGGTGTGGTCGGCGTCATACCCATGGAAGCCATGGCCTGCTGCTGGGAAATGGAAGGCTGTCCTTTCTGGTTGGCCCAGTTGCAGCGGATAGCGCGAGAGCCAAGCCACTCTCCGTCCATAGAGCTGAGAGCGCGATCAGCATCGGCGCGATCCCTAAACGCGACGAATCCGTAACCACGCGACCTGCCCGTCTTCATGTCCCACATAACGCGAGCCTCGGAAACGGGACCAAAGGTAGAGAAAGCTTGGAGGAGAACCTCGTCATTGACTTCGTTGGAAAGGTCACCGACGAAGATGTGGAAATGGTTAGATGTGTCTTCCTTGGCTGTATTGTTAGATTGGTAGGCCCAGTTAACACGGATTTCCTGTATCTGTCAGAACCGCCAGCACGTAATTATCGAGCGCGCTTACGTTGTTGTGGATGCGGCGGCCGTTGAGGGTGGCCATACCACGCTCGGCGGCGCCAGGGTCATCATACTCGACGAAACCGTAGTTGAAGCCCTTGGAGTTGAACTGTTAGCGGTCAGCGGCACATGAATGTTGCAACACTTGCAAGATAAGCCCGGCCAGCTGTCAAGAGTTATGCAGCAGGTGCGGAGTGTTATCTTACAGAAGGAGAACTTGCAGTCTTGTCTGGAATAATCTTGACGCTCTGGACATGGCCAGTCGTCTCGAAGATCTGACGCAACACGTCCTCGGTGACCCGCGGGTCCAGTCCACCAACATATAGCGCCCGCTTGTTGGGCTCGGGGGCGGCGCGACGGGGGACGTAGCCAGGCTGGCCGCTGGTCGGGCTCATGGGGTTGCCCGACATGGGCGAGCTGATGGCGGTCGGGATGGGATTGTTGTTCTGTGGGATAATGACGGGTGCAAGCGGCGGCGGCGGCATGTGCTGCTGCGGCTGGCCCTGGTTCTCGTAGCCGGGAGCGCCAGCGGAAGGGGGAGGAGGCAGCTGTGCCCCGGGGTTCTGCTGGTCGGCCATGGCTGCTGTCGCGGTGATGCGCACAAGAATCGAGTCGCAAGAGGCGCAATTGGCGGCGGCGGGTATCGAAGACGTCGGCGGTGATGCGACGGTCAGGGCGACGAGGCCACGGGGAGGTCGAGGCTGGCGGGCGGGGTGGTGGCAGCTGGGTAGGCGGCAAGGAAAGTCAGTATGGAAAGCGCGACTAAGGCTACCAATAGAGAGCGGACAGCACTAGGAAAGGCAAGGGAAAACAAGAGGAAGAGAGATAGGAGAGACGAGCGCTGCGCCGAGCTGTGACGGCAAAGCTATAATCTCCACTGTGGGGTGAAGAAGGAGAGGTGTGAGAGGTGAGCGGGCGAGTTCGAAGAATTAGCGCCGCAGGCCACAAGGCACCCGAAGGAGCGGGAGCTATGAACGTAGTACCGTACTGCCGCTAGCCCAGCCTGCTAGCGGACCCTCTTGAGGTCCCGCGCCGAACCCATCACTGACACACGGCCGTACCTTTGCCTAGCACCTGCATGCCCACCATGGCCACCGCCGTAAACTCCACTCAGCACCTGGACATGCTCCAGAGCATGCTCAATGCTGTGGTACGTCCGGTCACGTGTCTGCTTCTGCGATCGCGCTAACATCCATAGTTCCTCCATTCTGGGCGCTTTCTCAAAGAGGAGCAGGCGGGCGGCGGCACCGGGCGCATGAGGCAGCAGCTGCAAAAGGTCGTGCCGTCTGCTACTGAGCGCTTTCACGATGCGCTCGACGAGCTCGAGAACGAGGTCCGCCTGGCGCAGACTGTCCTGCGCCGCGACATGGCGCTGCTCAAGCAGGACCGAAAGAAGAAGGAGGCCGCAGCTAAACAGCACGAGGTCGAGAAGGCGCGACTGGCAGCGGAGGCGAAGAATATCCCGGCGCCAGTTGAGGAAGAGCCGGTGAAGGTCGAAAAGGTTGCGACACCAGCAGCGCCCGAGCCAGCCGTGTCGCAGCCAGAACAGGCACCCGAGGCAGCGAGCGCAAAGGAGCCCGAGGCAGAAGAACCCCCGAAGAAAGAAGACGACGCGAAAGACGCGAAAGCACCACCGCCGCCGCCCATCGAGACCGACGTCGAGCCACCGAAAGACCCCCTCTTCGACGGCACGCCCACCACCGGCAACGCGCAAGAGTCCGAGTTCGACTTCGATGCCATGTTCGGCGACGCGATGGACACATCTGGCGACAACCCGCATCACGACATGATGGATACCTCGGGAGACATGGATTTCAACCTCGATGATGGCAACGACGGACCCTCGCTGCTACGCGGTCTCGAGGACTTCGCCAAGGACAGCGATGACGACGCGAACCAAGCCTCGGCCATGGACATTGATTTTACCATGGCAGACCTACCAGGCTTAGATATGAACACCGACGCGACCGCGAATACGAGCGATAATGCGACAGCTGCAAAGCCCGCAGAACCAGAGCCCGAGCCTGCAAAGGCCGAGGAACCCAAACCCGCCGAACAGCCGCCGGTCGAGGAGAAGAAGGAAGAGCCGATCACTACTACCAACGACGAGATGATGGACACCATGACCACGGACAATCTCGAAGATCTCTTCAATATGGAAGAGTACGAGAACCCCGAGCAGTCGCAGTTCGACGACGCCTTCTTCAATTTCGAGTAGTAGTCGGACTTGCATCTACGGCGTTGGTTACAGAATTGGCGCACTGGATAGCGCTTGGACGGCATTGCAGGACATGGGCGGGCTCACGGCATTGAGACCACGGCGTACTGGAAGCATTTTGATACCCTAGCATATACCAGGAGGTAATTGTGAGACATTGAATTGAAGTTTGTATACCGTGGTTATCATTACAAGATGCCTGAATCCCTCTCAACTGACCTCTAGCTTGCCCTGGATGCCTTTGACGTTTCCCCGTCTCCGGACCTACTGCGGGTCCATACCTCCAACCTTTGGTCGAGACCCTTATGGTCGTCGCTCTCAACATCGGTGCAGACGCCTCCTTCTGCTGGTCTTGTTTTTGTAAACCGCTGCGACAACCGATCAAGACTTTTGTTGTAGTCTGCAAGGTTGTCCATAAGCCTCTGGAGTTCTGGCATCATTTCGGTAAATGCGTGGTCTGGATCCGCTTCGTCAGAATCCGCTTCATCGGAATCCGTATCGTCAGAGTCTGTGTCATCAGAGTCTGTATCATCAGAGTCTGTATCATCAGAGTCTGTATCATCAGAGTCTGTATCATCAGAGTCTGTATCATCAGAGCTTGTATCGTCAGAGTCTGTACTATCGGAATCCGTATCATCAGGATCCGGTTTATCGGAGTCTGTGTCATCTGAGTTCGCTTTCGATTCGACCGATTTGCGTTTCCTGGTTAGGATACCAGACATTTCCGCTAAAGTTATCTGGATCAACTGAAGCTGTTGCTTTGTTTGCTCATCGATATGAGGGTCTACAGATCGATGTTTCATTGCATCGTCAAGCTTTAGAGTAAGCTGCCGAAGCCGGTACTCGGGAGAGCTTTTACGCGGTTGAAACACACCATTACTCATTGCCCAGACTTCAAACAACACACATTGCTGTAAGATAGAACTATGCGACACGTTCTTCTCCATGTAATCCTTTATCGCCTCGCCACGTGGTTTATCTTGTGCTCTAGCTTTTCCCTTCTCAGATTCCGCTTTCTCCTGGGATGCCACCCAGGCCTCGAACTTCTCATCGAAGACGGCCTGGAATTCCTTATAGACCCTAAGGTAGTCGTCATGGCAGCTTTGAGCGAGCGCTTTGATGGTAACTCTATCAATCTCCGTCGTGGAATTTTCGGTTGCTTGAGCAGGCGACACGCCTGCTTTAGCTACAATGCTGTCACTGATCAACTCCGTGAAGCAGCATAGGCATCGGTTCTGCCAAATTAGAGCCATTACATGGAACTCGAGACCTGAAAACGGCGAGGTGCCATTCGACTGCGCTACCTCCGTCCATGTGTTACGTCCTCTTAAAATCTCGGAGATCTTGCTCAATTTCTCTTTGATGACATGAAGTGCACCCTTCAAGCCTGTCTCCCCGCTAGGATTAGCTTGTTGAAGCATTTCGTTAATCTCGCTTCGTCCCTTCGGGTCTTTCACGTTCAAATCTGGCCAACAGTTGTACATGTGGAAGATCGCATCGCGCGGAAGCTCTTCGAGATGCTTTTTCCAACGGCACAAAACCTCGCCCTCGATTATGATGGCCCTGATTGGAGTCTTCTTCTTTATTTGCTCGTCCGCCCTGTCGAAGTCTCGGATGACGTCTTCGTAGTCGACTTTGCAATCTTGAGCAAGTCCCACGATTTCGACCTTTAGTGTTTCTTCCATTTCTTCGATTTTGCCAACCGCGGAGGGAGAAACTTTCTTTTCGACCAATTCTTTATCGATATCTTTGTCTTCTTCACCGCGGCTAGGGTTTTTGAGTTCCTCAGTGTGACGGAAAAGCTGTCCATTGTAATAGGCTAGCTGCCCCATGAGCTTCTTTAGATCAGACTTCAACTTGGGATTGCCAGCGTCTGGGCCTGATGTCGGCTTTGCTTCTGGAGTCGACGTGTTTCCATCTGCTACAAATCTTCCAGTCAGGATATCCAAAATCTTAGACACTTTGCCCAAGTCCATTTCGATCCAATGGAGCCACTTTCGTATGAGATTGTCGTTCTCCAAAGTTGCGAGTAGATTTGATGATAGATCGCTTGACTTAGACTTTTGAGGCCAGCTCTCGAGAGATCGTTCATCCTGATGAGTTATGCCGTTTTGATGGGCCCATTTGGTTAGGTGAATACGCAGATTCATGACAGACCCAACCGGCATAATCTTCTTCGTGTCTATCCGTTGCCAGACTTCAGCGTAGACGTCCAAGCAGCTCTTAGTAAGCGTACCGATAGTAACATCTTCGATCTGCGTTATAGGTTGTTGATCTGCTTGACCGGTGGGCGGGCCATGTGTTCCGCTCTCTGACTGCTCCGTTGCCATGCTGTTATTTTCTGCGAGGAGCTACGAGGTGTTTTCGAACTTCTTGTTCGCAAGACGTATGTTTGAGTTCTCAATACAGAGTTCGCTGGTCGAGGGATGAGGTTGAAGAAAGCAGTGAACGTGTATAGATTCTGGACTTTTATATTCATGTACAGTCACTGTTCGATACGACTCACAGCATGAGTGACTGATGAAATGCGCATCATAGCAGTAGATTGAACTAGTCATAACTGAGTAGAAAATGGGCGCTTGTGACTCTGGTATCTGACCCTTCTCAACCAGCCCGTGATTAAACGTTCCGCTTGGAAGGCCTCTTCTTCGACGGCCTCTTCAGAACCACTCGCAATAAACGCATGAGCACCTTCAGGTGGCCCTTCTTCCCCGATCCTCGGGTTTGGTCCCTGTCATGATGCCTTTCGCTGTCCGGGCAAGCGCTTTCTTCAGCTGAGCGCTCTCCCTTCAAGCCCTCGTCGGAAACCTTCTTATCGAGGTCCTTAACGTCCGCACAACTGCTTTCTTCAGTTGAGCCCTGATCTCCAACCATCTCCGTCAACAGCAAGAGAATCTTGATGTATCTGCCCAGATCTTTTGCCTTGGGCTGGAGTTTCAGCTCCTTTAACTCATAGTCCGGCGCGTGACCCAGCCATTTTTCCAGATTCACACGGTCTCTCGCTCCTGTGATTGACATCATGTCGGCCAAGATGAAGTCGATGCCCCCAAGTGTCTCTAAGATGTGGTCGCGCACTCGAGATTCTCTCGATCGCCGGCCTATTTCCAGCACGGTCGCGTCTTCTGGCATTTCCACTTTAACAAGTTTGCCCTTGATCCATATGCTATCCTGCAGAAACTCCTCGTTTCGCTCCGCCCATTCGCTGAGGATGAGGCGTTGGGCTTCGATATCCTCTGGTGGTGGTGCATGGGAGAGGATGCACACAGCTTCGCTGACTGTGAATGCTTCACGTGGGAAGACCTCTTTATCTCCGATAATCATAGGAATTGGGATCTTCGTTGCTCGATGCTTCAACGCATCGAGACTGTGAATAAGTCGCTGAAAGACTAGGTCACATCTTTCAACTCCCGATTTGATACCGGCGCTCACGCTGGCTTTCGGTGGTACTCCAGCGACTTGACCAGATGACGGAGCGCGTGTGCTGTCATTTGGACGTTTGGTTGCCATGCTAAATCCCTCGTTCCAAGTCAGCTATGTGACAGTCTGGATATCGGACGTGCTGGAGCGAGGATGCGATTTCGAAGGCAAATATTTGAGTTCTCGCTGCAGACTCGTTCGTCAAAGAGATGTGTATGAGGAAAGGAAGTGTATTGCTTCTGCCCTTCTGAAATAGATGCCATGACTATTTATGAAGACTCATACACTTGCTAATAAGCTGTGAATCATAGCATGAGATCATGACGATTCATCAACCGGTTTGAGCTACATCTTGAGCCTTTAACAAGCATTTTGTGTCATGCGTGAAGGCTTCAGGGGGCACCTGGTTCGGCGGACCGTTTCTGCGCGTCATCTAAATCCCAAGATGAGCCTGGCTTTCGGCAAGCGAGTCGAGAACTTGTTTGAGCCTTATTTCATGTGAATTTTGCCAGCTTAAAGAACCGCTTCTCTTCTCTCGCGCGATTTTGGTCATCGTTTTGAGCGCAGCTTCGATGTTATGAAGTGGCTTTAAGACATGCTTTAAGACCTGGTTTCTGGATTTGGGACTTGCGCAAGTGTTGCAGTGGAGATATACTCTCTCTCCCGAACATACTCCGGTTATTTCCGCCCATGTGATTAGATCCTTACACAGGCGTCCAGTAGCTTCGAGTGCCGATTCGCTATTCATCCGCTTATCCAGGTCGTCGATATCGCTCCAGACCTTCCCGTAGGCGGCTAGGCAGCGCTTATACATCGTCGTTGCTTTGGTCGATTCGATCTAATCTTCAAGCTTCTTGTTGACCGCACCCAGCTAACCAAACATCTCGCTCGAAGTAGACTCTAAGGATTGCGATCTCTCTTAATTTAATAAGAAGTACCTTTGCGTATATAGTAGTTATGTAATTTAGAAATTATAAGTAGCTTATCTTACTCTACGTTATTATAGTACTATAAATAAAATAAAAAAGAACTAAAATATTAAATTATATATACTATAGTAAGTTAATAGTTAAGAAATATATAATACGCACTTTAGTATCTTTATTACTTTTATAACTTATATAACTATAGCTACTAATATCTTCTTTATTAATGTTATAAGTATTAAGTATAGCCTCTAAGAAACGCGTATACTTATTAATAATATCTTAGCTACTTCTATCTTTCTTAATTTACTTAATATTAATAAAGTAGCTAGTGTCTTATAAGCTAACTTCTCTACTTTTATTAGCTTTATTATTACTTTACTTATTATTTCTATTATTACTTTACTTATAGCTTTACTTATTAGTTAAAATACTACTTATTAGTAAGAAAATAGTATATACCTTTTTTAAGCGTAAAGTATATAAAAGTACTATTAATTTAGAATCTAGCTAACTATATAAGTAAGACTTATATAGTATAACTATAAGTAGACTCTAAGAAATAAGTAATAAATAATCTACTTTACTATTTTTTATAAGCTAGCTTTACGCTAATACTATAGAAGACTTAGTACTTTAGTAGTACCTACTTTTAGCTTAGAATATAAGTAAGACGCGTTAATAATATTATTTATAGTTATAGCTTAAAAGTATTAATAGCTTAAAAGTATTAATAAGAGTAGAGTAAAAGTTTAAAGATAGTAGTAGCTATTAAGCAATAGAATCTATGTTTAAGCAAATGTGTGTCTTGTGTGTGTCTTATGTGGGCCGAACGCGAAGGAACGACCGTCGCTCGAAGTAGGCTCGGGCCTGTTCTTCAGAATCATTGTCTTTGTCGTTGGAAGTGTTAACTTAATGTCCTCTTCAGCTTCATATCGGTACTCACCGGTATCCTCATCTTTGTCATATGTATTGATTTGGTGTACTTGCTGAATGCATGCCATAGTAGAAGGATCTCGGAAGGAATGGCGAGAGCGGAAAGTCTATGCTGCTATTCTTGTTCTTAAATCCCCAGAATGACTGTGCAGTAAGTACGTATGACAAGTCTCTACGCAATCGTCATGAATCTAAAGCGTGACTCTGAGAGCACAGCATCTTAGACTCATTCATATATGATTCAGAGATCTCGTCATATCTGACCCCATGATGACCAACACAACTTCTCTCTCCGTCATATTCGCCCGCATGGTACGACATACCAGCGGCAGTAACTCATTGGATACAAGCTTTATCGCTGTATATTTACACTACTACCGCCATCGAATACCCTCTCGTCGTTACCACACCCTCACTTCATCGTCAAGTATCCGCTGCAATATTGTCTTTCACTCTTGCCCCAGCGATCTGTGCTCCGATAGAACCCTCACTGAGATTCTTCGTATCTCTCGCAAGAGACTTGTTGCATTCGCCGAGTACTGCGATTCGCTCTTTCAGCTTTTCTGCACGTTCTGTGCGGCTAGCGTTCAACATCGACTCCTTGTTCAAGCCCGCTGCCCGAAGATCATCCGGCGAGATGGGCTTCTCTAACAGCAACTCAGACATGGCGTCCAAGGTCGATTCGATGGTGATAAAATGATCAGTGAAGTGAATTCGACTCCAAGTCTTTTCGGTAGCCAGAAGTTTGGTTTCCAGAGGGCTCTCACCCTCAAGGAGAACTCCGACCTCACGAGCCCATTTGATGAAGTCGTCACGCACGCCTTCGATACAGCCGGGTAACAGCTTTTCTTGCAGGCGCTCGTTCGCTCCGTTGAAAACATTAGTGACTGTCACATATCCGGCCAAACAGCTTCGGAAGAGTGTCTTGACACTGGGGCTTGCATTGTATCTCCTGGGGTCAGATTTGTCTTCTGCGTCGACTGATGTTTCCAAATTAACGACGATGTATCTGAACTCATTAATGTGCAGGCCCAGCAACCCTATTAAATTTGGGTCAGGCCGCCGGGGTCTGTGAGGACCTTCTATCCAGGAGTTTTCCTTAGATTTAAGGATCGAGTTCATGATGTGTAGCGTGTGTTCCATGGCTTCGAGCCAGCCGGTAATCGATGATTTTGTGAACGAGGGAAAATGGCAAAAGTCGTGCTTCGGCGAATTCGCTTCGTACTGGTGCAGTCCTGTGTCTTTTGCCCAACTTGCAAAACAATTGAACTCCTCCTCTAGACTGACACGTGCTGGGTTCGTATACAGGATGTCCCTCTTGAGCTCTTGGGGAACAAACTTCGCGGTCTCAGTCTTATCGAAGTGGCCCAAGGTTTTGTTACACTCGTCCAAGGCACGTTTCGTAAGCTCCCGAGCCCTGTTCAGGTGGGTTTTCTGCGGCTCATCTATCATATCGTGAAGACCGGTATCCCTCGGTTGCTAAAAGCTTTAGCTATTTGAATGTATGTCTTTTTGAAGTACTCGTATGAGGGAAGAGTGATGCTGCATTGCTTGATGTTGAGAATTCCGCACTGACTGCGCCGATGATATGACTGGCCTGTGTACTCATAGCTATGACACAAAAAGGTGACTCTAGGGTCTGAGCGGCCTCTGCTTGTACAGAGATACTCACATATTCAGTTTCGATTGACTGTCATCAGGCACCCCAGTCTACGACGAGCCACCACCCAGCTTGATCTCTCCCTCAAAACCGTTCACGTGCATAAAGTTCGCGCGTAACGGAGTCACACTCGTGTATCCCTGCGCAACCGCCCATCCATCGTTGCCCGGCTCGCTAGCCTCAACACTCTCATATACATCCTTGAAAGTCGGTGCCCACTTGAAGTGCTTGTGTGTATACCGCATGTGCGCCTGGCCCGAAGGCGTCTCTCGTCCACTGTCCGTGCCAGACGCACCGCCCTGTATCTCTGAGTTCGCCTTTAGCTCCTTCTTGCCAAACTTCTCCTCTTGCTTGCGGATCTGGCCCTCGATATCTGATGGCGTGTCGTCTGCTTCGGAGGGTACTTCGACGACCTGGAAACAGCTCCCGCTCTTCCACGAGTTCTGCAGCATGTTTGTCCAGAGGATCTTGCGCTCTCCTACATTCTCTACCAACGGCACGTTGACCGTGTAGAGATGGGTGTTTGTGTCCCAGTTGTCCCACAGGTGTTGTATGAGTTTTGCACTGAGCTCGCTGGCGTCGCTGATGATCTTAGCGTCGTGGTTGCGGTCGAAGAACGCGTACGAGAGGGCGATCGACTTCATGCCGCATACCGCCGCCTCCATCGCGCCGCCTATTGTGCCTGACGATAGAGAGAAGATGGCGGTGCTGTTGCGACCGTAGTTCGGGCCGCTGACTACGAGATCGATCGGGCCGCGGTCGGAGAAGTAGTGGTAAAGACCGATCTGTACGCAGGACGCAGGTGTGGAGTCGACGAGCACCCATTCTTCTTCATTGGATGAGGGCGGTAGAGGCGAGTTATGGGTTGTGCCATGGTTCGTGAGACGTCCTTCGGCGTTGGTTTGGAGGGGCGCAGGGCGGTAGTACGTCGGTTGTATCTGTGGCAGTGAGTATGGCGAGCGGCGTATTAGAAGTGGTGTGTCATACCGACTTGCCCACAAGATGTGCCTTGCCTATCCATGACCGCTGGGTATGTGGGAGAACGACTGAAACGGTGTGTCCATGCTTCTGCAGTGTTGACACCAGCGAATGTACGTAGGGTGAGGACTGATCTGATGGCGGGCCATCATCGTTGGTAACCTAGATCGATCAGTACTTGCCATTGGCTTAGTAAGATACGACAGTCTTACAAGAATATGCATGATTGCTTATGTGGACAGTGCAGCGGGTTCTGGCGATGCTGTGTTGTGGATTGGCGATGGAGATGCAGAGGGGCAGACAGTGACGTGCGCTACCAATAAGTCCGAAGCCCGTGGCAGGCAGTCACCGCCTCATCCTTCGCGTCAACACCTCTGCGCTTTCACATTTGTTTTCGCATGGCCGTTTCTTCGACAGAACGGTCGCAAACGTCGTCCGCGAACGCTGCAGGGCAATGGCAAAGTCCGTCAAACTGGCAGTGGTACCTGCGCCATGGGTAGATCCGCTGATGCGCCCTGCATCGTGCCGACGATCAGAGCTTAGCTGCGAAGAAATTCGAACTTCCACGTCGCACCTAATAGCAGTGTAAACGCTTATGAACAAGATCGATGGTATGAATAGAAGTGCTTGCGACGCCGGACTTCGTCTCGCATCTCCATGGCAGATCTGAACACCCTCATTCGGGGGTTAACCATGGCCCCTCCCCCTTCCGACGTCCGCACGACAGCCGGCACTTCATCCACGACATTTCGAAACGGGAGTGCAGAGTCTACCGGCAGGTTTAGCTGTGTGTAGCTAAAACGACTAGAGCTTCGGGCGCGAAGGTGTAGAGCCGCAGGTCCCTGAAGCAGCTATTTTCGGTGTTCGTTTCTTCGGATCCCCGCCCGTGCCCGCATACCGTGAACACCATTTGTTTCAATGCTGAGACTGAACACTCAAGATGTTTATAAAGAGGCAGCGCAATATGAGAAAGGTAATCAGTATACCCAGTCCATCTTCACTCACTACTTCAACATCTTCAAGCTCCCTACCTTGAAGCTCTCTATCCCATCATCCACCGATCCATAATCATCTAAACCAACACATTATCAAAATGGTCATCAACGTTCCCACCGCCTCCCTCGAGGGACAAGTCGCTCTCATCACCGGTGCCGGTCGCGGCATTGGAAGGGGTTGTGCTATCGAGCTCGGCAAGCGCGGCGCCTCCGTCATCGTTAATTACGTTTCATCCGAAGGCCCAGCGAACGAGGTCTGCGAAATTATCAAGGGCTTCAACAACGGTGCCAAAGCTGTAGCCATCAAGGCGGATGTCAGCAAAGTCAGTGAGATCAACAGACTATTCGAGGAGGCGAAGAAGGCATTCGGCAAGATCAACATCGTCATGAGCAACTCAGGAACCGAGAGCTGGGACGTAACAGAGGAGATCAGCGAGGAGAAGTACGACCACGTTTTCAACCTGAACACAAGAGCGCAATTCTTCGTTGGTCAGACCGCATACAAGCACATCGAGGACAACGGCCGCATCATCCTCATGAGCTCCATTGCTGCCGGTCTTCTCGGTGTCAAGGACCACGCCCTCTACAACGCCTCCAAGATGGCCGTCATCGGTTTCATCAAGGCATTCGCGACCGACTTCGGAAAGCGTGGCATCACCGTCAACGGTGTTGCACCAGGCGGTATCAAGTCGGACATGTTCACACAGAACGCCTGGCATTACATCCCCGGCGGTTCGCCTGACTGGCCAGCGGAGAAGATTGAGACGCTCATGGCAAACCACTGCCCTCTCGGAAGGTGCGCAGTACCTGAGGATGTTGCGAGGGTCGTCGCTTTCCTCGCATCAGCGGACGGTGGCTGGGTCAACGGTCAAGTGCTGACCATCTCCGGTGGATCATCGCAGTAAGCTGAGACTGAGGTGGTGATGATCGATGAACGAATGACGGTCGCATTGTATGTATTCCAGCGCATTTGATAGAGAGCACAATTCGAAGCCATCGCTCGAACAAAAGAATGAATCATAGCAAAATTACGTGAAGTGTTTCCCGCGTGTGCCAACTTTCAGACTGTGTGTCGTGATTAAGGTCTGTGGGCGCAACCTTGGAAGGCTTCACGTACCCTGCCAAGACCCACGTCACCAAACGCGATTAGGCAACGCCATCACGTGGTTCGATCTGCCCGGGCACCTGGGCACTCATACAAGAAAAAACCCCAAACAGGCCTGCGGACTACATCAAGACAAAGACCTGCAATGCGGGTTGCCCAGCGTCAACGTAGGCTCTAGGGTGTTCGGGTTTTTTCTAGGTTAGCGTGCGGGCATACCTACTTTACACACCCTGCGACCTGTATCAGGACGTACTTTGGTGGACTGACGAAAATTAAGCGTCTGCCATGAACAGGATCTTGTCATTCATAGGGGATTTCGACTTAGCCCAGCACGGTGGACCTTTCCCATAACCACGGTACTGCCGTGACACGCCGAACACTCCAGCAAACAACACCGAAGCTATCTCAATCATAACGTATACCAAATTACACTCTTAATGACTGGACTGAACTAGGACCAGGCTGCAGTCTGAGTTAATGGCGCACTCCATTCATTCCAGACGTTTCCCTCATCGCTTCCATAGGAACTTCAAACTACCAGTAAGAAGACGGCAGTTTGGCATCCAACCACACAACCAAAGTTTTGAAATTCATGTAGGTCATACGGGCAGAGTTTTATGTGATAATTTTGTAAGAGACTTCCCCCTATAAATACTCTCTACTTCTACTTCATACCTATTCATCCCACAACTCACAACCCCCTCTCTCGGCCACCACCACTAAGCAAAACTGCCATAATACATCCACAATATCAAGCAGTCAAGAACAGAAACCCTGTTCCTTCATCATGTCGAACTCCAAGCTGTCTGAGTGCAGCCTGGGCGATTTTCCCGAAGAACTCCTTTGCGGAATCCTAGACCAAGTCGGCTCCGGCATCGATGAAGAATACGCCCCCGGCACCATACAGACTCTCCTCTCTCTATCCGCTACCAGCCGCCAGTTCAATCGAATCACAGAGTTTTACCTCTACAAAACCATCAAGACCGATCACTTTCGTTGCAGAAAGCTCGTTCAGCGTCTAGAGGACGACCCCACTCTAGTCACACACATCAAGCGACTAGTATGGGACAAAAAGCCAAGCGAAACTCCAGGATGGTACAGGACGCTGTCGGGTCCGTTGCGTACACCAAATCTCGCACGGGTATTCAACATATCCAATATCCCGTCGCACTGGAAGTCTAGCGACTGGAGGGATAAATGTTCCGCACTAGCTCTAGTCTTGGTGCTCACTCCACGGGTAGAAGCCCTGGAAATTATGGACACGGATTTCCGATTTCGCATGAGCGACGGCAAATACGGGCCATCCTTATGGTCCACGCTGAGGCGATACCCCGATGCCAGACTTGTTGAGCGCTTCGCCAACATACGTACGCTACGATTTGGCCATCAAGACATCGACTTGGAAGCGCTTTTATATGCCCTTCGATTACCAGCTCTACGTACACTGAGCTTCAAAGGCGAGCTTGTGGACAAGGACAGATTCAATCACGGAGTTGTTCGACCGATAAATCCCTCCTTGGCACGATGCGCACATCTGGCAAGGCTCCCGCCTCGAAGCTCACCTATCGAGTATCTCCACATCGAGAATAGCGCTATGCACTCGAAACATGTCGCCATGATCTTGCGCTCTATCAAGAATCTCAAAGACTTCAGCTTGACGTTCGCCGGAACCAGAACCGAACCCTCAATAAGCAGAGCTATCTACGAACACAAC